GTTTGGGTCACGTGACCAGCAGCGGTCACATGACCAACGGCGTGCGGCGTGGACGTGCGCGTGCGGCGGCGCGGGCGCGAGCACGCGGGGCACGTGGGCGGCGGCCGGCGCGAGCACCTCCGGACCGTCGAGGCGGGCGGTGAACACTCGTTCGACCATCATAGACGACGGTTTCACCGGCGCTCCCGCCTCTGCGTTGGCGTCGTGCGCGGCCTTGTCCGCTGCCTGTCCCCGCAACTTGAGCTGCCCCCGCACGGCGACCATCGCGTTGGCGGTCTGCGCAGCAAGCTTGGCCGCCTTCGCCGATCTCTCTCGCTCTGCCGCCGCTGCCGCGTCCACGGGGCGGTCCGTCAGCGGGTCGTCGCGCAGCCGCCCGTCGGCGTCGGCAGCCTCAATCATGGCAGCGTCGGCAGCCTCGCTCATACGGGAGCGCAGCGACCTGAAACGGTCCGTCGACAAATTCGAAGCGCCCGCCGAATTCGAAACGTGCGCCGCTCCCGCCGATCTCCCGCTAACGGACCTTACACGCCTGTAACCTCTCTTTAAGGTATTGCTAAAAATCTCTCTCTCGAACAAATAGCAAAACCCGAATACCGTGCACGAACTGCGTGATGTGGGCCGTGGACGGGGGCAAGCGCCAAGCCTTCAGCGGGTGCCAAGATATGTTTTACGGGAGCACTGCAGCAACCGCAGCCGGGGGCTATTGCAACACATATGGAGAGCCTCCTGCGTGACCTCGGGGACGCGCGCGACGCTGTAACAACCTGCCTTTTGACGATGCGCTGCGCGACAAGATAGCTACCGAACTGGATCGCTGCTCCGCCTCTCGAGCGCATGTTGGTGACGAAGCCGCCGGTCAAGCGGTGGGCGGAATTGGTCAGCCGGCAGAAGGATCCGTCCATCAAGACGCGTCGTCAGGCTGCGCTCACCGCCATGCTGCGCGTCGTCGACCGCCTCCCCGCTCGGGGGCCAAGCCAAGGTGCTGCGTACTCGAGTAGCCTTACTGTAGGAACCTTTCATGCTCCAAGGTGACGCAGCCAGCCCCATCCGCCCCCCTTGCACAGACTCTTCCCGCTTGACTGAAACCAGAGGGGTGAGGAACCACCCCGACCCAGTTAATGGCGCGTCGGGGCCAGCGCCTCAAATGCGCCCCAACCCTCCACTGCTGCCGCCTCATCCTGCGCTGCCACCGGTGCGCGCCGGCTCGAGGCTT